TTCAAGAAAAGAGTTTACTCCTTTCTAAAGGGCCGGCAACGCACCTGCAATTCCCCTGGTGTTGCGGTTGATCATGGACGGCGGTAGTCACTTAACATCAGGTGAACCGCATTCTCGCCCTCTAAAAATAACACTATCAGAAATAAAAGGACATCTGTACTCAGCAGAAGGACGTATATAAGCTGAAATTTTACTTTTCCTTTCATTTATTCATGGACAGCAGTAACTACTTACCGTAAGGTAGGTTTTCGGCACTGTTATAACCTACTTTATGTTTGGAAAATGATTAAAAGTGTTTTATATTTTGTTTGAAAATTAAATTAAAAGAAAAATAAACCTTAACATTTTTCTTTATTCGATGCGATAACTTTTCACATCCTAAATGTATTAACCGGGTATTTGGGTTTTAAAGCTCGTTACAGTGTCAAATGGAAAACCGAACGTCATCACGGATTTCGAGATAATTTCATTTCAGGTCACGCAGGTAAAATAACCGACACCACGATAATGTGACGTAATTACAGATAGCTCGATAAAAGTATGCTTATGCAGATATCGCTATAGAAGATACGCTTCTACGTTACTTCCAGGTAATGGTTTAAAATACTACATTCTCAATGTAAAAAAATTAAATAAAGACGTAATGCCAAACATCTTTTTTGATACAAGTGATGGTAACAATTGCTAAAATTGTCAATCTTTAGTTAATTTATTTATTTAGTTACTCTTGTCAAATACAAAGTATAAATACGATAGAACGTAGTAAGACTATAGGCAACAACGTGCTGCGACGGACTGATTCCGTTTTCTTTGTTAAAAAAAGATGAAGTTAGTAGTGTACTTAGTTCGTTAAAACGATATCCACATGAGGATTTTTCCATGTATCGTGAAAGCGTTATACCTATCAAAAATTGCACAATGACAGACATCCCGATCCGTAACATCTGTAGGTTACAGCAGAGTTACAGCTACTATTGAGCCGTCGATGCAATTTTTATTTAATGATATGGGAGGTATCATAGAAATCAGAAAACATATTTTTCCGGGTACAGATTACGCCAGTCAAGACATCATTTTTAACATCCACTACGAGGGCGGCACTGAAAATTTCGGGAATCAAGGAAGTGACACAACATTACTATTTAAAAATGTATTTATTGCTTTTAGAAGTATTCTCCGCGAAATGTGACATATTTTCCATACGATGGAACCAATTATTGAAGCAACTATTCCATTCGGAAGTTGGGGTCTCCAAAATGGCCGTTTTGTTGGCGTCCACAGTTTCTTCAGGTGATGAAAATCTCTGTCCACGCAATTTATTCTTTATTTTAGGGAAAGTATAGAAATCATTAGGGCTTATGTCGGGGCTGTACGGCGGATGGTCTAATAATTCTATGTATGAATTCGCATTGTCGTGATGGAGGATGATGTGGCGGTTGCAGTTTTCTTTACGGAGTTCAGAAACGACATGTGGCAAACAAATGCTAGCATACCATTCTGAATTAACCGTTCTTTGTCCCTCAAGAGGAATAGTCGTAACATGGCCGGTTTTGGAGACAAAGGTGGCCACCATTTTTTTTGCAACACTCCGTGAACGAACAATTTTTGTTGGCTTTAACTCATTTTCGTACACCCAAACTCGTGACTGGTTTTTTTGTTTCGGGGTTGTACGCGTATATCCAGGATTTGTCGTTTCAGGATCCTGCGTGGAACCTTTCGAGAGTTCTGACGCACCAAGTAACGCGAGCCGCTTTTTTGCTCTTCACAGAGCGAATGCGGTATCCATCGGGAAAACAACTTTTTTACACCTAATTTTTCATGCAAGATTATTTGTATTTGACTCATGTCTAAAGTTGCCTGTATTTCGCGGTATGTCACATGTCGATCGTCCTCAATCAGCTTACGCACAGCATCAACGTTTTCTTGGGTGACTGCAGTTTTTGGACGACCTTGACGGGGATCATCACTGAGCTTGACACGTCCACGTTGAAATTCAGCAAATCAGCGATAAATTGTGGCTTTGGATGGGGCTTCATCACCAAATGCAGAAATCATCCGGTCAACACACTGTTTTTGTGTTAAACCACTTCGAAAGTCATAATAAATCATCGCTCCTGAATTTTCTCGAGTCAATTCCATTTTCTTAACGACTAAACAAGTTTGACAAAACCTTGTGACAAGACCGAGAATATTTTTTTAAATTAATAAATAGTATTCGATTTTTAAAACTAAGGAGTTTTCAATTAAAAAGATTTTAATATGACAGGAACACTGGAAATATTCCATTCCCGTTACTTTTAGTGCAGCCTAGGTACTCATTTAGTTGTACGCACAATCACAGGCATACACCTCACAGACGCTTATTGCATTGCCGCTGTTTTGTGCAAAAATAATTTATTTGACAATTATATTAGTAACTAACATTGGATTAAATGTTATTGATATTTCGATAAGTAGATATTATGGTGATTATATTTAAGCTTTCTTAATATCTAAGTGGAAACGAGTTGTCAGCAACGAGTACAAAAATAAAATACCTTGTGGCCTATATTACCGGACGCCATATCTCCACCATAACGAATATTAAATGCATTACTTAGTGGTTGGACTTTCTTTTCTGCCTAGGAGTACATCTATAGAAGTAAAACACTCTTACCTAATTCTGCCGTCAAATAGCATTGCTTTCTTTGGTATGTTCCAGTCTGAAAAGTGCATAGAGCCAATATAATTGCAGGCCATGAGGCATTCCATTTTAGACCTTAATGGAGACAATGCATATGTATCTCTCTCTGTTTGATATTGGCAGGTGTCGATGGGCCGCAGTGGCTACTTACCATTAGGTGGAATTTAAGTTCGTTTATCGTATTTTGTTTTGTGACCAAATTTAAATGTAGTAACAGAATTTTTTATAAAGTAGTGAAACTTTTTAAATAAAATTAAAAGCTTTTAGAAAATGTCAAATTATCCTAAGTAGCACCTTTTTCTTGATATTGCATGAAAAGTTTAATCTCTCAGCGGGATTTGAAAATATTCGGTGCGTGCGTGTGTGCGTGTGTACATGTGTGTATATTTGGGTGTCAGTGTACGTGTGTGTTGATGCGTGAGTATGCGGGTGTGGGTTTATGTGTGTGTGTGTGTGGGTGAGTGTGTTTTGGAAAAAGAGTGTTAGCGTGTGGTAAATCTACGTCATTAGTGCTTCTGTGCTATCATAATCAAGGTTCTCAAGCCACACTCTGATCCTTGTCTTTGTTTGCTGATTACTGTAATTATTTATGTTTAAAGTCCGTTCATAACCTATTGTATAAATTCTGGGCAATGTACTTATACTGTATTTCTGCAAAAAAGTTCTGGAATTTTGATACATGGTGCAGATATGTGATGGTAACTTTGTACGCAATGACTGATTAAAAGTTTTTTTTACACTTAGTACTTGGACTTTTTCATATACTAGTTGTATTTGGGTAACGAAATTGATGTACGAGCAATAGTTTATTAATGCATAGTTTTAGTACCCTTTTTTAGTACTTTTTTTAAAAACACGAAATTTAGATTAAACAAATTGCACTTATGATTTTTTATTCAAATAACCGGTTCAGTTTTTTCCATTATGTAGGTAAGATCAAAAAAAATATTCATATTTCATCAGTATGTAATTGGTATCAAAACAAAATTTCCAAAACACCCAATTAAAAAAAAAATACCGAGCAAAGCTCGGTCATCCAGGTACTGTAAAAAGTCGCTGGATTCGGTTAACGAAACTGACACTGACAGTACAGGCCAGTAAGATTTTCGTTTCGTTCTGATAAGGTAAACGGAGTGATTTTTGAATAATATTATACTTTGAAATGTATTTTTCATCCACAATATTTGAAGAAATCACATAAATCACATTCAAAATGAATATATTGTAAGAGGATTATTGTTGAATAATCCTCTTTTAAAGCAAATCGAACAGCAAATTATTTAAATTTTTTCGGATGATGTTGCATAAAACGTATTTGAATTCAAATATCGTAAAATTGTTAAGAAAAACAAAGTTTTATAAATAAATCTTACCATAACGTAAACATTTGAAGGCTGCTTACCTGATCGAACCCTCAAATTACTTGAATGATCTTTCTATATTTCATCTAAATTTGAGGTATGCTCAAACTTAGGGGATCTTTAAAAAAGTGACAGATTTATGTTGCGTTTCAGTATTCGGGCATAAAGCACTTAGGTTAAATGGAGTACGTGAGCTTTCTGCCGTAAAATAATACGGCCAGCAGTATTTCTTCAAACGATATACTAGTCACAGATAATAATATTATCCCTACGTTTTAGCACTTGTCTTAAATTTGAATTTGTGTGCAAAGATTTTAGGAGAATTAATATTTGTATTCTTTACAAATAAAAAATAATATATAAGGGGAAAAGTAGTTATTTGAAAACCATTAAGGGAAATTTTTCTTATCAATTTTACCAGTATGTCTGCGGGAGCGAAATAAATTTTATTCACAGCTGTAAAATGTATTCATATATCTTAATAATATCGCTTCGGAATGGCTCAAGTAACCCCCAACTGTGTGACGCACTGTAAACAACCTGCATATTCCTCTCTAGCAGATTAAAATTACAAATATTTTACTTTAACTTTTGTGTAAAAATTAATATTTATATCTCATATATATTTTATACACGGCGAAAAACGTAAACCCTATGATAATTGATTATAGGTATATTAGTTAAGGATCAAAATGCAGAAGCGTTGTGACCTCTAAGAACTCACATGGTTTGCTAGAAGTATTCCGCAAATATTCCATGTGAGTTCAGTTGAGACACCATATAAATTATACAACATTACGCTGCTGTTTTAGGCGAGTAATATTTAAAATAGTATTTTTTCGGTCCAGCCAACCAATTTTTGTATCGGTCACAATAAAACTGCAGCGTAGCTACACTACATAAATGTACATTTTGTTTTATATGCATGACATAAAATTTTGGAAAATTTCGAGAAAATGTTTTTACTAATATTAGGTAAAAACATTAATTTACCCTACCTGGAATGGTCATCTGATGGTCCATCCTTGAGACCTGTTAATACAGTTACTGATACAGCTAAATTATTGTCTCATATTATGGCCTTTATGAATTTGAAACAAATAAATACATTAAAAAACGAAAACAGTAGAATTCTTGATCTTGTTTTATGCAACTCACCTGATTGTTCAGTTAATATCTCTGATGATCCACTCTTAAAAGCCGTTCCTCACCATCCTCCGCTGGACATTTTTTATGAAACAACTCAATCCAAGTATATGCCCACCAACCAGAAAACAAAACGAAACTTTTACAGAGCAAACTATGACCAAATTAATACTGCTATATCAGAGACTGATTGGGTTTCTGAACTCAGTTCTTCTTGTATAGACACTATAGTTGACAAATTTTATAACAAAATTATGCATGTTATTGAATCTTATGTACCACTTATCAAAGTTAAAACCAATAGATTCCCTAAGTGGTTCTCTAATAGCTTAATTTATACACTTAGGCGTAAATCTAAAATGTGGGCACGATGGAAAACGTACAATTCGTTACGTGACTATCAAGAGTTCTCCCTATTAAGAAAACGTGCTAAACGTCTCTTAATTAAATGTTACAATAAATATATAGAGAACGTTGAGTCTTCAATAAAGGATAATATAAAATACTTTTGGAAATATACTTCAGATATAAAGGAAACAAATACGGGATATCCTCAAGTAATGAAGCTGGGAACCAAAACTTCAGATGACCCAAAAATAATATCTGAAATGTTTTCACATCATTTTAAATCCGTATTTGAACCGTTGTCAGACAATGCATATACATTAACTCAACACTTAGAGGATAATTTTACTGGAATAAACTTACATGACATACGTTTCACACAGTTGGAAGTTTGCACTGCTTTAAAAACATTGATCCAAACAAAGGCGCTGGACCTGACAAAATAAAGCCAGTGTTTTTAAAACACACTTCTAATACAATTTGCATGCCGCTCAATATAATTTTTAACAAATGTTTGGAAACTGGAACATTTCCAACTCAATGGAAACAAGCATACATTACACCTATCCATAAATCAGGTTCTAAGAACAACGTAGAAAATTACCGTCCCATATCAATTCTTTCGGCTATTCCTAAAATTTTTGAGAAACTTATTCACGATCATATATATTCAATTTTGAAAAATACATTATTAGAGGAACAACACGGCTTTGTTAATGGCAGGTCTACACTGACAAATCTTCTTATTTTTACTAACTTTATTTTTAATAGTTTAGACTATAAATCACAGATTGAAACTGTATACACCGATTTCGAAAAAGCATTCGACAAAGTTGATCACTTGCTACTCTTAAAAAAATCTCCTACAATGGTATCAAAGGTAATCTTCTACGTTGGTTTGCTTCTTATTTACAAAACCGCATACAGTCGGTAGTGCTTAATGGCTACATTTCCTTACCCGTTGTAGTAACATCTGGCGTACCACAGGGATCAATACTGGGACCACTCCTCTTTATCCTATTTATTAATGACATTTCAACTTGCTTTGACCATTGTAAATTCTTATTATACGCTGATGACTTAAAATTATACTCTGCCGTTACTAAACCTGACGACATAAAATTAATACAAAACGATTTGGATAGACTTGAAAACTATTGTAAAATTAATAAATTATTCTTGGCTTATAATAAATGCAAACACATAACATATACTAGGAACAAAAATGTAGTACACGCGGACTTTTACTTAGGTGGTCACAAAATTGTATCAGAATTTAGTATACGTGATCTTGGAGTATATTTAGATACCAAAACTCACACTAGATAGGCACATCGAGGAAATATTGAATAAATCTTACCGAATGCTAGGCTTCGTTACACGTATAACAAAATCATTTAAACACAAAGGTACTCTTACCTGCCTTTATCAGTCATTAGTTAGATCTCATCTAGAATATGTGTCCCCCGTTTGGAATCCATTCTACTCAGTTTATGAAGATAAAATAGAAAAGGTCCAAAAAGAAATTCTTACGTATTGTTAACTATCGAATGCATTCACCTCGCGTTTCCTATGAAAATCTCTTAACAAAATATCAAATGCTGTCATTAAAAGACCGACGCACTTTAATCGACGCCACTACTTTTAGGAATATCTGTGTTGGTGAGATTAAGTGTTCACAGTTATTGTTAGGTAAGGTTTCGAATATCACCCGAAAACATACGATTAAAAAATCTATTTCATATACCAAAAACCAGGACCAACATTGGTAAAAGAGCACCTCCACAATAAAATGCTTAACGACATCGATATTTTCTCTATCTCCCGTTCAGCTTTTAAAACTAAATTAAAAAGTACTTTAGTAGCAATTATGAATTAGATATATAAGGATATTTAGTATTTATTATTGTACATGTTAGATGATTGTTTTCTTTTTATTTAAGTACAGACTTGTTACCCTGCTTGTTGTGCAGACGATACCAATTACGACCTGCTTCATAATATAAATATTATGTATGTTCTTAGTGAGACAGCTTATAGGAAACAATTGTAATTACCATTGTCTTATTTTACTTGTATATTTTTCTTTCATATCTTTTGTTTCTGTTTTGTCTCCAATAAAGTAAATAAATAAATAAACTACTACTACTACTAGGTTTACTTGTACTAGTATTTGGTTGCTTAATACTTTCTTGCCTACTTCTTCCGCCGAATAGCAATGCTTGCACGTATGTACGAGTACTTCGTTTTGAACGGTATAGAAAGCCGAACGAAGAAAGAAAGGAAGACAAAGTATCTGTAGCTTTTTTGTTTGAATTTGGACGCAGCTTCTTTTGTTACTTCAGACTTGTAAAAATAAATGAATATAACACAACAATTAATAATAATATCTAAGTGTTCAATAATAACATCCCTTTGGTTAGCCATGTAGTGGCGTTGTGATAATATCCCATACCATATATAACACCATGAGTATCGTAAAAAGAACAATATAACTAACACAGGAGACGAGCAACGTTTTCCTGATAACGACTCAAAATAATAAAAAAGCTGTGGGTGCCGTCCCGCCTTCCAAACGCCTGCAAATACGGTAAAAGCCCTATGATATTATAATTCATGTGTGGGCCTATATACAGCAGTGGACTGTCATAGGCAAGTATTCTATTATTACATAAATTATATAAGAAATTGATTCCATCTTAAGCGTTGGCGTGAGTCGGTCGTTTAACTAATTGCATTGCGCCGTGCGTATGTGTGAGTCTCGTGTAAACATTGAAGTTTAACGTTAATGTTATATGGACATCACTCGAACGCATCGTGGAGATTTTGCACAGACTAATTTCATAACAGAGCGGTCAAGTTATGAACATGACAACTGTAAACAGTACATTTACGCAAGAGTGTGAAATTGAACAAGATTTAAGACCCGGAGAAATGAGTGTTAACAAGTCATTTATTGAAAATGAATCACCTCCTCCTTATATAACATTTCGGAAAGGTAGTAGCGTGCTTCCTGCAATTTCCGATCTACAACAAGAATTTAAAACTCTTCAAAGCAGTTTACTTAACAGGCTTGATTCCTGGTTCTCAAAACAAGAAACAAAATTTAATACCCTTCCTAATGACTTCGACGAAATTAAAACCACGCTGAAATTTATCAGTGATAAATACGATGATTTAGACTAAAGAACTCATGATGTCAGCAAGCGCGTGTCTAGAATAGAACATCAGCTGAAATTCACACCGGTCTTCGAAGCATGTATCTCTGAATTAGATACTAAACTGGCAGAATTTGAACAAAAATCTCGAAATAGTAATATTGAGATAAGTAATCTGCCTGTAAAACGAAGCGAGAACTTATTACAAATACTGGAAAATATTGCTAAAGTCATAAAGCAACCAATTTCTACCAAAGACATAGTTACAATTCATCGTGTACCTCATATGAACCCTAAGATTTCACGCCCGAAGAATGCAATTGTAAAAATTTTCAATCAAGCAACGCGTGACAACTTCGTTTCTGCAGCAAGACTATCAAAAGGAATCACAACAGAGCAAATAAATATGCATGGAGCCGTTCAATATATATATATATATATATATATATATATATATATATATATATATATATAAAAAATATATATATCAATGAGCACTTAACTTTTCAAAGTAAGAATTTGTTTCGTCAAACTCGTGAAGCTGTAAAACAGAACGGATACAGATTTGTGTGGATCAAGCGCGGAACTGTATGTATATCCTTTCGAAATCCAAAAAAAAAAAAAAAATCTAACTTTAAAAAAAAAAACTGGTTCGTGCAAGCGAAACATCTGCTATTTTTGCTATACGAAGGGAATAAGATATATTATCGAAAATTAAACCAAAGGATAACAAATGATGGATTTACTTGTGAAATAGTTATTAGTAATAGATTTGTGCAAGCGAAACATCCGCTATTTATGCTATACAAAGATAACAGCATCAATTATCGAAAAGTAAACTTAATGATACCACATAACAAATTTGAAAGTAATATGAGTAAGGTACGTCTTCTTATAAGATTTATTTGCAAGCTCTTAGTGTTGCATTACTCCATGTGTTGTTTACGACTGGGACAATTCTTTTACAGCGTATATTTTTCTGCGGCCACCGTCACAATGAGTATTTTGTGTTTACATTTTAATACAATTCACGATTTACGTTTTCTAACAAATAAAATATTACAATTATTACCAACCAAATTACTTTTAAACAATCTTGTATACGAATAAATTTTTGCAATATATAGTTCTGAAAAGGAACCAAATGGTGTGTAAACGTTCAACTAAGAAACAGAAGGGAGGAATCGAGGCTTCTCTCGATCCGGCCTCCTATAACGCCTACGTTGGGTTCGGGAACAACGTATGTGATCTCCGTAACGGAGTAACACACAAGGGCGATAACCTCTTCCTTTTCAGCAAACAGGTTCAGACGGGGATTACGGGTCTTCCGAAGTCGTCCCGGTCCCAACGCCTTAATTCTTCGATGTGGACTGTATAATTTTGAGGGATGAATTTCTTGGGAATAAAACAGCAATTATCTTCAAACCGTTCCGTGAGAGAGTAATTACCTTTCCCTATCACTTCCCTACACTTTTTCTTTCTTCTTATTGACTGCTGGTCTTGCACTTTTCCCGAAGGATTTTCGTACTTATTTCTCGAACATTTCCCGAAAGATTCCCGAACGAATTGCAATAAAACTCATTTACTGAGCTACCCCAGAGCAATACGCGAAAGTGAGCCGCGCCATTCGCGCGCTTGCGCAACTCAATTACATGAATTTGTTCTATTACTCTCTCACGTTTTACTTAATTACTTTATTTGCATAAGTCATACATCAACATAATTTACCTGTATAGATAGCACAAAACAATATCTACACTACGATATACATTACATTTTCATATCACAAAAAAACCTTTTATTTATTTAACAAAATATGCCTATTTTACTCATAAGTTCAAAGTCGAAATTTCTTAAATATTTAACATAGAAAGTTAAAACAATGTTTTCCACTTGAAATTGTACATAAGTTAACCAATACACCAGTTTAATTTACATTTTCTCTATTAATTTCACTATTAAAACACTTTTTTAAAAAAAAACAAATTTCTTATACAAAACTATCATTATTTCACTTATACACAGGAATTTTCACATAAAATTAACACAGAATTCACCTTTTTTAGCACGTACAATCAAGCTGAAATGTTTTACAAGTCATTTTTACATAAATTACTGAAATTAAAAATATTTAAATTTTTACATATTTGGCCTCCTAAGGGCGTGGCTAGCGTGCGTCCGTGAACTCACACTATTTGAACAACTAACTTTGCACGGCTCTCGACTATCAGAAAAAATGAAAAGTAATATACACCAATATCGACAGTATTAGGTGAATAAATGCTTTT